TTGATGAGATTGTTGATGTGGTTGTTGATGAGATGGTTGGTGTTGAGGTGTTTGTTGTTAGCCTCTTTCACTCATTTTTGAAAAAATAAATTGCATACTTAAAATATTTTTTGTAGATGAATCTGAATCATTGTTATAACAAGTATTATTAGGTTGTTTTTGAGGGTTAGTGTTATTAGATGTTGGTTGAGGATTAGTGAATTTATATGGTGGTATTTGAGAAGCAGCAGATTTATATAGTGCATTAGAAGAAACCAATTGAGAATGATCATGTTGAGTAGTTGTAGGGGGTTGTATAGAGTCAGTAGTATTATATAGTATATTAGAAGAAACTGATTGAGAATGATCATGTTGAGTAGTTGTAGGGGGTTGTATAAAGTCAGTGATATTATATGATGCATAGAAAAAACTAATTGAGAATGAGTATGTTGAGTAGGGGTAGTAGAAAGTAAGTTTTTCATTATTCAAAATTACAAAAAAAGAATTTTCAAAAATTTATCTTCAAATTTTAGAAACCTATTGTATTTATATAATTGTAATGATTTTGCAAGAGTTAATTAAATTAATTAAATTTAAAATCGAATAATAAAAAATATAACGTAAATGAAAGAGAGATACTTATCTGTTGACTTTTGGTCATTATACTTATAATAACAATATTTTGAGATTTATCGCTTATTGTATAATTTCGTCACAGATCTAAATAATATTACACTCAATACAATTATATGAGTGCTGCTAAAAAAATATCTGAGTTATCGAGCTTTCAATTGTATTTTGTACCAGACACAATTTATTTAATTTATTAGAAATATATCTGGTACAAAATACAATTAAAAGCCTGGTAACTTAGATATTCTTTTAGCAATACTCATATAATACCGATTTGCCTATATTATTATATCACGCATAATATGATGCAAGTTGTTTACAAAGTTAGTTTTATGATAAAATTGTTTTGATAAAAAAATAAAGTAAAATGCTATAAATCGATATAAATTGATATAAATTAATATATAGTTACAAATCAAATTCTCTCTGAATATTACCCTTAGATATTTTTTTGTGATTTTCTTTGACTCTTTATAATTGATAATCGCTTTAATCTAATTTTTTTTTCTTTTTTATTTTCTTTTTATCATTTGTTGTTTTTAAATCTGAAGAACAGAATCCAGTCTAGATTCTGATATCCTAGCATCTCTTTTATTTTCTCATTTTATCTTTCTCTTCGCTTAATATTACTTATTTTCAGTTTAAATTGTTTTAATCATTTCTTTACATTGTTTCTATCCTTTCTCTTTCTTTTCACTTAATATTGTTTATTTTTGTTTAATTTGTTTTTTTCACTTTTTTACATTCTTTTTATTCTTTTTTTCTTCTCTTTGCTTAATATCGCTTATTTTCAATTTTATTTGTTTTCTTCGATTCTTTACATTGCTTCTCTCTTTTTTTTTTTTTTGTTTTTTCATTTCTTTCTC